TGGATTCATCATCCATCCACCTCTTTTCCACCCTAACTGTTGTGTTTTTTATCAGAGTTCACAGAGCAAACAGAACTGCTGGAATGCAATGGTAATGTTGGTCTGCAATGATGGTGGTGGATTTTGCATGGTCTGGCTGTTAGGGTGTGTGTTTCTGTTTTGGTTCTGTGCCCGTAGAGATAAGTTTTACAGCGGTTATTTTGAAAACAAATATCTTTGGCAAAAATCTTTCCCTGCGTAGATTAAAGGGAGTTTTACTATGGGAATATATAATATCCTGAGTTGGACTGGATCCACTATGATCATCAAAGTCCAGCTCCTGTCCCTGCACAGGACAGACCCAAGAATCCCACCATGTGCCTGGGAGTATTGTCCAAATGCTCCTTGGACTCGGGCAGGCTTGGGGCCATGATCATCTCCTTGGGGAACCTGCACTTCCCCAGGGAGCCTGTAGCATGCATTTACTTTTGTAGTTGTGTCTGATACACATAAATAATGGTTATATCTAGAAATCTAACTTAATTAAATAGTTTACTGAACTGTCCAATAGCCAAACTGCCCAGAGGTTACCTGGAATAGGAAGCAAAAAACCTGGTTTTCCTCCAGCACATGCATGCAATCAACAATAAAGGGAAGAAAGTATCTACTGTATGAAATTCAGGGCTTCTGCAGGATTTCCATTCCCTTTTCAAATGTTTCCTAATCAGTTAGGAGCAAAAATCCCATTAAATTTTTAACGTGAGAGAGCATTCAGGACCTTAGGCACATCAGCAATGCTTTGAATGATATGTGGGTGATATCTACCTCTGGATATTTGGAAGGGATGTCCCAAAACACAGACTTCTGGGGCAGCTGTATCCTCCTAAAGCCTTCAGAGCTCCCACACACTGAACAGTGGCCATACAGCCTCCTCATTTTACCTTTCTCTGCTTTGGTGAGCAGGGAACCCGTTAAAACTATATAATAAGGAAAAACCTTGTCATGTTGAATATCCTTCCTATCACAGAAATGCCTTGAATCTGTTTAATTTACCGGTGTGGCTATTGCAACATAGCCTTAGGAAAAAAATACCTTAAAGCAGTGTATTTCATGGCAATATATATTCAGACATATTAAAACAGAAAAAAAAAGGAGGAAAAAAGAATGTTAAAATATAAAAAAGAAAATATAGAGATGCATTTCATTAAAAAAAAAAAACTTGTTTTCACTTTCCTGAAAAGGCTGTTGGTATTTAATGATATTTATGAACATTTAATTAGGACCAATATCTTCTCTTTCAAGTGTTCCCCATAACCGATATTCAGAGCAGTTTGTTCTTGTGGTACATTAATTTACAAACTTTAGCCTTGGGGCTCTCAATGGCTCCATCACTTTCAGCACTGAGTATTGTCAGGATTTCCAATGAGACACAACATCACAGAATGTAATGAAACAGGAAAGAAATGAGGAAAAAATGAAAAACACAACAAACATAGCAAGCAGTAAATAACTACCTACTGTGGAGAAAACAATCAGTTCCCTTGAGGGACACATGATGGGACTAGACAAAGAAGGAAATTCATTAGCTATATATAGCTATGAATGAATAAACAAGATAACAGGACGAGCTTATCATCTAAGATCTTTGTTATTAGATACAGATATCAGATGTTTAAGAGTGCTGGAAGAGTAATTGAACAAATCTTTTGCTGTTGCTCTTTGGACCCAAGTGGTGTATCCTCACATGATGGGGAAAATGAGATGGAAACTACTGCCAACAGAGAAAATTTCAGTCAGTTTAGCTGGAACACAGATAAATACATTATACAAGATGAGAGCTTTGGCAAGTATATGTTTCTGATGTCTCTCAGACACAAAGTTGTCTACATTCCACTTGTAAAACTGTAAAAGGAGAAAAAAACCCCACGCTAGCAGTTTCCATTGTTGTGAATGGAAATAACAATTAATTATCAGGCCTTGAAATTATCTTTTTGAGTGAGAAGGAGCAGGTCCAACTAGTTTGCAAAGAATTGGTTTGTTTTTATCAAAGGATGTGACCCTTCCCCTCTCTCCAGCCCTACCAAGGCCACACCTGGAGTGCTGTGTCCAGTTCTGGGCTCCCCTATGTGGGGGAGACATGGACATGCTGGTGAAAAGCCCAGTGAAAGGTAGACAGGAAGATTCAGGGGCTGGAATATCCTCTGAGGAAAGGCTGAGACAGCTGGGACCGTTCAGCCTGGGGCAGAGATGACTGATGTGTATAAATACCTGGAGGGAGTGTGTAAAGGGGACGGAGCCAGGCTCTTTTCAGTGACAGAACCAGAGCCAAGGGCACAAACTGGAGCACAGGAGGTTGCCTCTGAGAATGAGAAAACCCTTCTTCACTGGGAGAATGTCCAAGAACTATCACAGGTTGCTTAGACAGTCTGGTGTGTCTCCATCCCTGAAGACATGGAAAAGCCACCTGGACAAGGTCCTGGGCTGTAGGTGGCCCTGCTTGAGCAGGGTGGGGGGGTGGGATGAGATGATCTCCAGAGGTGCCATCCAGTATCAGCCATTCTGTGGTGCTGATTTATGGTTATGAAAGTTTTAGTGATAAATCAATACTCCTTTCCCCCCACCCCGTACAACATTGGAAAGGTGGACATTTTTGATTGGTTTCACATAGATGAGAATATTCCTCATTGGTTTTTTTTTGTTTGTTTGTTTGTTTTTCTGTGTTTATGTGAATGTAGTTTGTGGTCCCAGTTCTATACATAATAGTTTCAAAAATTTGAATGTGGTATATTTTAAAGGTGTAGTAATAAACCTTGTTAAAGGTTTAGTAAAAACGTATGATTTGAAAAACTGTTACTCAAATATTCATATTATAGTGATGAAATATAGCTATGAAATTTTGTGTCTTGGGTCCAGAATTCTGTCTTCATCTGCCATACTTTGGGGAGACAAATTTGGTGTAGAAAAAGCAGTATTTCAATACTGAAAGATGTTCAAGGTTAGGCGACAAAAGTAAGAGATTAGTGCCTTTAATACTCAAAAATGCCAGAACTTTTGTCCCAGCTACTTATAAACAAAAAAGACCAATCTTGTTGGGAAACGTACTGACTGGAGTGGTACAAAAAGAAGAAAATATGGACTTCACACTTTTGTGTTGGCATCAGGTTCCAGAACAAGAGACTCTCTCCCACGTTTCTCTAATGACCAATAGATAAAGTCTATAGTGATTAAGAATATTCAAGGATACAAAGCAGATTTTTTTTAATGTGCTTTAAGATGACTCCTTCAGAGGAGGATTGTTTATTGTTAATAAATTAATACATTTAATTTTTATTTGCTATTGGTTTTGTCAGTAGAGAAATTATAATTTGGGAGATAGCTTTTTCTTTTTTCATGTTTGTTGAAAAAATAATTATGTCACCAACTTTCACATAATGTATATTAACAGAAATTCATAGTAACATTTTCAAGAATTACCTTCCTCCAGAATTACATGTGTCCTTGGCAGGAAAAAGGGCACAATTCAAGATAAAATCTGGGTCTGAAATGGAGAGAGAGAGAAAGAAGTGGTCAGTCCATTGGCTCTTCGCCTGCCACATTATAGTTCCTTCTAAAATTCTCGTTCAAATATCATTTTCTAACCCTTAAAACTGACTTCTACGATATTTCAAATAACATACACTGGGCACAAGAGTGTCACTGGTCAGGAGAAGATGAGGGGTATATGGGATGCTCTGCCTGTTTTGGGGAAGACTTTAGCCTAAGGTTTGCTGTGCAGAAAGAAAGCCCTTAAGATACTGTGAAACTCTCGTGTAGTAGTCAGTGCCAGAAACTGCAATTGGCTCGGGCAGATCGTGACACTGAGAACACTTAATACCTCATAGGCTTATTATACCTTTGTCACTAAAGTTTTACTGGAGAAAAGAGATCCCAGTCCGTTATTTTTATTTTTGTGAAATTGTAAAGTAAATACATTCCTTGTGAGATTGATAGTGCTGAGAAGTGAGGTCCTCTCTTGACCTGCACTATAGGTACCTCCCTCAGCAATTCTATTTGCAGCTGTAAATCCACCTGCATTTTGGCAGAGGAATTGTCACAGAAAAGGGAGATGCTCTGCCTGAAATCGGCCAGAGTAATTGAACTGCTTATGTACAACTTGAGACCACATCTTTTATATTCCAAAGGAAGTGGCTTCTCCAGGAAGGGTACGCTTAAAAGATGTTAGCAATAGGACTTTACTTCTTGTGCTGCTGTGCATGGGACTAAGTGTTACCAACCCTCCAGAGCTGTGGTGTGATGAATGATAAATGTGTGACGTAGGAAGAAAAGAAAAAGGAGTTTTATTTTTTTTTCTCCTTGAATAGTGACATCAAAAAGTATGCAGTGGTGTAGATAATTGTTATATTCCTACCTGTTTCAATGAGTTGTGGTCGAATAAGCTCCTACATGTTACTATTTCTCAGCCATGCTATCAAAAAAAGCAAGTGGAAAACAGAAGTTAACATTTGGAACCCCTCTTTATTTGCAAGAAACTTGCACCAATGAGCCCTGTTTCTGTTATCTTAGTCTAAGCAAGTAGTAGACATCTCCTTTTTCAGAATCCTCAAGTCTACCCTCTCCAGCAATTCTAGTGCTTCAAGAAGGTTTCTCTCTTCTTCCCATAAGCCACTGCTAGTTTCTGTCTCTCTACTTTCTTGGCATCCTGCTGTGATGGTACTGATTGCATAGACATTTTCTCTAGGTGTAAAGCCAGAATCCTGTCTCTCTCTGGATGCACTTCCAGTCTAGGCAGTTCAGCACTCCTTTACTTGTGCCAATTCACAATCTGAAAGGCAGAAATAATCCTCCAGAATACATATATATATATATATATATATATATATATACACACACACACACACGTGTGTGTGTGTGTGTTTATGTATGCAAGTTGGATGCAAAGATGAATGTTCAATTGTTCAGTTTACTAGTCAGCACTGTGAATGGTTAGACACAACTGAAAGATGATGAATTACAACTCTAGACAGAGAATGAAGTAAGAAAGTCCATGGATACCAGCGGATTACTCCCAGAAGCAGATTCCATACCTGTACACACCCACAGCGTGCCAGATAACTGCTGATCCTGCATTTCTGCAGGTGTAACTTAACACCACAGAATCACAGAATAGTTTGGGTTGGAAGTGACTTGAAAAATCACCTAGTTTCAACCCCACTGCCATGGGCAGGGACACCTTTTACTGGCCCACGTTGCCCAGAGCCCCATCCAACCTGGCCTTAAGCCCTTCCAAAGATGGGACATCCACAGCTTCTCTGGGCAACCTGTCCCACTGTCTCACCACCCTCATCATAAAGAATTTCTTTCTTATATCCAGAGCTTCTGATGAATCTCCACTGTTTGGTCTGTTACCTTGATTTTCCAGCACTGTTTGCACCCCTCAACACCAGGGTCCTGGGGACAGGGTCCAGCAAGCCCAGTCTCCATCTTCCACCACAGCCCTGTTTAGCTGGGCCAGGGCTGCGGGTGGAGGCTGGGACTCCCCCTGCTCCCTTGGCTCCTCTGACTCTGTTGGGATGAATTCTGTCTCTTATGAATGGAACAATTTGTATCATTTGCAATACAGATCAGCTGGCACTGCGACTGGCGGGCAGCACCCCTGAGTGACATGAAAATACAGTTACTTGGAGCGGTGCCCAGGTGGGTAGATATTATAGAAAGGTCTGTGAGTCCCTACAGATAATTTTCTGGCTGGCTCATTCCTGAATCACTGTCAAATCCAAATTCTGCATCACTACTTCTGAAATATGATGGCACAGTAATGAGTTCTAATAAAAATAGAGGAATGAAATGGCAAGAGTAGCTTCATATGCTAATTATTCTGAAACCTGTGCATTTTGCAGCAAACTTACGGAATGTACTCTCCACTGAAAATTGGCGATGCTAATTCTATTTAAATGATATGGATTGTCAATGTCGTTTTAGGGAATGGACATGTATTCTCCATATTTATAAGAAGAGTTATCTAACCGTGGCGAAATAAATATTGACAGTCTTGTAGAAATATACCAAAGAAAATACTCGACCAGCAGCAAACTATGTGTCGAAAGAGTTTTACAAAAATAGTTCTAGATGGATTACAAATTATGAGGATGATTCCTGACAGTTTATCAAGGCAGTGTGAAATATCAAATTGCATTGGTCAAAATATTTGCAACTTTTTTCTGTGCTGTAGCTCAACCGCTAAAAGAAAATCTTGTTGCTATCTGAACAGGAAGAAAGTATATTTGAAAAATAGATCTATGAAGATGGTAAAGGACGGACAGCTTTTACCATTTTGCAGTTTAGAAAAGACTCGTGTTTGAGTTGATAAGGATTCTTCAAAATACGCTTCTTTTGAATACTCAGTGTGAATAAATCTGTGAGATGCTAAACAAATACATTGTTTTTCAGTGTTAATGCTGATGCAATACAATCTTTGCAGGATGCTGGAGCCTTTTTTATTATTATGTAGAATAATAACATGTTGTAGCACTCTCTGTCTTCAAAAGACTTATGCAAAATGCACTCCAAATTTTAATTAATGTCTGCAACGCATCTTCTGTAGGACTTTCAGTGCTTTATCCAAGAGGTCAGTATCGTGATTGATACCTCCAAGACTGAGAACAAAAATGTTTATCCGTCTTTATTGTCTCTTTGTCCTCCTCAGAGCTGCTGCTCGTTTGGTTCTTGCCCCATTGCACGTTGTTTCACTGTTAGATCGGGACTCTTTGGCTGTGGGGCTGCATTTGTGCCCTGGCAGCCTTGAACCTGTCAGGTGTTACCTCAGTGTGTGACCATCGTTCTCTCAGGCTCTGCCTGGATTTTCCTTCAAAAACATCATGTGGGAGACATTCACGTAGCTCTGTCTGAAGTGGCAGAGTGGGAACAGCAGGAGAAATAGAAAACTACAAAACAGGAAACCACAGTCTCTTTCCACAGTAATTAGATACAATCAGTTGCAGACATATTTTCGTTGCTTTTCTTTTCTTTTTCGTTTTCTCTGATGAATACTTATCTCAGTTTTATTGCGCTGATTTTACTTTAAGCAATGGTTAAATTTAAGACTTCTTCAGTAGTTTACCTTCAAGCAAGTGCTGACAAACCTGTAGACAAAATATTTAGCTGTAGCCATGTAAACCTGACTGACCTAACTTCAGCCACTGTGGTTGCTTTCAGAAGATTATGTTTTTCTCTCTTTTCATTTTGAAACCAAAGTCCCAGTTCAACCTGATGACTGAGCTGTGATAACCCCAGGGACCTTTTTTAAAACAAGGAGACTAACAGGGACTCTTATCCTTAAAAAAAAACACTTTAAATACTGACTATGGTCATAGGAAACAAGCTAGAGCTGTTACCAAAAGTCTCAAGAGAAATGGAGCTTGCAAAAGATATATTTGAATGATAAGAGGGGGGAAAGTTTCTGGATTGCTAGTGTTCCAGTCAGTACTTCAGCAGCATGCTGGTCTCTTGCCACTTTCTCTCATGGTTAATCTGCAAATTAAGAAAGCATCGGAAGGATCAGAATATTTTAAGAATAGGAAGTTTCTGGATTGTGTTCTTTCTGATGTCAACTCAGTCCTCAAGTGGCTGAAATTGTGTCAAAACAGTGAGCCATTGCATTGTCTTGTGTGGAAGAAAAAAAAAAACCACTCTAAGCTGTGCTCTCATTGAACATGTTCCTTTTCTGTGCATTTCAATTATTTCTGTTAGATGTTCATGACCTTTTGAAAGAGGATTGCTTTATAAGTCTGTTTGGCTTTATCATTTGTTTATATATCCCTAGATGGCCACTAGCTCAGTGAAGATTTTTTTTTTCCTATATAGTTCCACCAATAATTATATTTATGTCTTGCAGAGAATGTAAATTGCTTTGAACGCATCTAGAATTGTTAGCAGAGTATGAAATTATAGTTAGGATGGCCTTGTCTATCATTTGGCAGTTGCTGTGATTACTTACTACAGGAAATGAACTGGACTGTGACCTGTTGTCATAAATTCTAGGCCAGGGACAAACACCTTACTCAAACACTTGCTGGAGTGTTACTGACTGTAGCAGTGCCACACAGCTGCCCTGTAATTCCTCTATGATTCCCACAGGCAAGCTAAGATTATGTACCTGTGAGTTTTGCTTTCTCCTATCTCCCCTGTGTAGTTAGAGGTGAATCCATCGTTCCTGGTGCATACAGACCTCGGGGACTGATGGTGTATGAGGCTGAAGCAAAGCTCTTGACTGCTGTGATGTAAACTGCCAGAGACAAGGTCAGCAGAGAGGGATGGGGCAGGTATCTAAACACAGGGGTCTTCATACAGTTGATCCTGACTTTTGTCAAGCCAGTGCTGTCATACAGACATTTTCATTTGAACATTAGGATTAGAGCTCAAATCTGAACTACTGGTGAACTTTATCTGAGTTTTACTTGCATTTTGAGGAGGTTTTCTTATTTTTACTCCCCCCACCACTGAAATGCTTTGAAAAGTCAAAATATGTAGCTCCTGACTTTTATGAACCATTGGGAAGTTCTCCATGCTTAATCACTCAGCTGAAGATGTGACCACTATTTGTTGCAAGCTGTTAGGCCAAATTAATCCCTTCCCTAGTTTTAGGTATTTTATTGAGTTGCCTGAAGTGGAGCATAGTAATCTTAGATTTCTTCTGTGAAGATTAATAGACACAAATACCTGCTACAGGAAAATCTACATCACCCCTAGAAATCTAGTGCATATAAAAATAGCCCAGCAACTTCCCTCTCAACTCAAACACCAGAGTTAAATGCACAGAGTTAGTCAAGGTGATTCTGGAGTTGCCTGTTCAGCCTGACCTTCATCCCTATATTTTCTTGAAGTCTCCAGCCTGCTCTTTCAGATTAATGTCTGTGTGTTGATTCATGTTTATACAGAGCCCAGCTGGCTTTGACAGGGCCCAGATTAGCCCTGTGCAGGGCTGATGACAGGGCCAGTTCAGCACTGCAGAGCTCACGCAATCCCCTGCTTATATAGATGGTGTAAATAAGGATCAAGTCCTATGCTAGAAGGTGCTTCCAGTGTTTTTCCAGCCAATTTGTCCTTCCTGCCTCTGCTATTTTAAGAACTTGCTGTAAAGGAGCACTTGATTTCTCTTATCTCCTCCATACAGGCTATAATTAGGATTAGCAGAAGTGTTTTACTTAATGTTGCAGTAGTTCTTGTGTACAGCACTCATATCTTAAGTATAATTAACACTGTATAGCTCCCATTAGTGTTTTTAAGCACTTAAAATGTACTATAATGGCCAAAGCTAAAGTTGTCATTAAAGGGCCATTGCTATTTATTATGCTCATAAAGTAGACACTTCGCTACAGAAAAATATATCACTGGGTTCCATTTAGAAAGCAGTAACAGACAGGGGCATTAGTGATGGCACCCATGGGATTAAAGGACTGCTTTAAATTGATCCCATTCTTATTCCACACGGGAGTCAATAGGGAAATCTAAAAGCAGGTGACAAATCATTGCATTGCCCAGCATAACTCTGATTAGCTGAGTTATGCTGGGGGGCAGGTCTGCTGTTTTTTTATGAATATTCCTTTCTATAAATGCTTGAATTTTTGTTTTCAGTCGGTGTTATCCTCATAATTTCGTGTACATTTCATGACTAATTTTTATTACATTCAGCTGACATTGTTTTAAGCAATTATAAAATGGGGAAAAAAATTATACCCTCTTCATTATATTTTGGGAAAGGGGCCAGGTACATTATTAACATGAGGATTCTGCAAAAATTTTTGCCTAGAACTCTTGACCAGATGAACATACCTGTGAGCAGGTTGGGTTTTTATTGCCACTGTTTCGTTTGGTCCAGTTGGTGATTGAATTACCCATTTTTTACAAGCCATATTATCCTCATACACAGTAATAAAACACCCCCCTTCCTTCATAACTCCTTGTCTCTGAAGAAGTTAATCTTCTTTGCCAGCACTGCTCTGAGGATACATTTTAGTCACAGTCCAACTGTTGGAACAAAACATGAGCCATTTATAGCAGTAAACAATTAGCACTGAAATGAGATAACAATTTAATGGTCTTGCATGATTAATGTCCTACATAAATTCTTTATGACATAGAATTGAAAGATGATGTTATGAATGTATAATAGAAAGTCAACAGAATGTGTCACCTTTTGGTTGGTTTCTAAGGAAACAGGCCATGCAATCAGTGTTTTCATAATAATCAGAGGTTCATAACAAAGCCATCATCTCTTGTCCTTACTAAATTCAATTTCCAAAGGTACAGTTGTTGGCCTTTTTGGCCTTAGTGCCAATTATGCACACAAGAGGTCAATTCAGTTAATGGCATCCCTAGAGTCTTTTTCATGTTTGTGATCCAGGGCCAGCATTTGTTGGTACCTGCATTTAATTTAAATTGCTGTCCATTTCTAGGCCTATAAATAAGTGGTCTGCTCTTCATAAATGCTTATTACCCACAGCCGATTCTGACTTTGCCCTCTGTCTCCAAGGTGAATAAACATGTGTTTAGTGTCTTTGAAAATCAGGGCAACAAACTTTAGAAGTCCAAATATAATTTTCATGCAAAGATTTTTCAAAAGGGAAAGTCTAGTATTTCACCGCTAAGTTATTTCTTGCAGCTTTAAGAATGTCTAAAATAGGGGAAAAAAACAATTAAAAATAAATAAAATCTGTAGGACATCTAACATATTTTAAGATCAAAACTTTTTTTTAAGCTTATGTTAAAGCAAAATAAAGTCAGCATCCAAAATCATTGGCTTTACTTCATAATTCTGAGTATATCTCTTTTTCCTTCCTACAAATACATACACACATATATACACATATAGAAAATAAACTGTTACTACAGTAACAGGTTTTTTTAAAAGTGTTTGTGTGACCATCTTGCATCTGTCATCTGTGAAGCAAAGGAGAGCCCTCTGCTGACTTTACTTGAGGCTTCTCTCTGTCGTGCATGGGGGGAGCAAGAACACTCTTTCATTTCCCTGAAAAATCTCGTTTGGTCCAAAAGATGCACAGAGATGAGAAAAATCATGTGCTTGTCCTTCTGTCATTGGAAAGAGGGAGGGGAAAGTAGGATTTCCTCTCCTGATTTTTTTTAAAACTGTGCTACCTACTAAACATACCAAAATACCCTTTTATCAGTTTATGTGTATTTATCTAGAAAACATATTCCCCAAGTCTTGTTCCTACTGTTTCATCAGACCTGTGATGACTTAAGGTAGCCTAAAGGTGGGTTTAATTCACCTGTTGGTGATTCCTTAATCCTTAGGTTGGTGCTTGGGCAAAAGGACAAAAGAAGGCAGAGCCTCGATTATTGTTGCATTTCAGATATTCCCAGGATCTGAAAGAGGCATTTAGGGCCGTGGCCAGGAGGCAGATATGGTGCTGGTACTCGGAAGTTAAGAAAGATGAAAGCCACAGGATAATATGACTGAGAAAATGGCATCATCCTGTTAAGAGGATAGGTGATAGACATGTGGAAGTACAAGGAAAAAGAAAGGGGAAGAAAAAAGAAAATATAAAAATAAGGAAATATTAAACTTGTTCCCAGAGCCCGAGTGAGTCTGTCCAGTAAAATATTACATATTTTTCTGCTGGATTTAGCGCAGCAAGGTATGTTCCCAGAGATAATGACTTTTGATAGACCAGGAGTCATTTTCCTTTGGCATTTACAGAGTTCATGTCCTCAATCAACTAAACAAATCACTATGATTGGTTTGTTACTTTAATACTTTTACGGTCTTACAGAGATTTTTAATTATTTACATTCTTTTTCTTAATAACCATTAAGAATTAATTAATTCTACATTAATATTCTTAGTGACCAATAAACAAAAAGGCTAATTGATAGTTTCTAATCAACCATGTGAAGCTGTCCTTGCCCAAAGAGGAGAAGTAGGAATACCTGTTTTTGTATTTTTATTTTATCACTAGGAAATGAAGCTCATTAATAAACTTTGTTCGATAGTCCTGGTAGAAACCAGGACTGTATAGAAAGGTCAGTAGCACACACATCTGCTAGGAAACAGATACATGTGTCTTTGGTAAAGCAAAAGTAAGACATAATATTTTACAGTTTTGTTTTTTATGCCATTAGTAATCAGTAAGACTAATCAGAACTTGTGTTTTTCTGCTGTGGATATGGGGTTTCCTTTTTAAGCTGATACTTTCTGTGGAAAAATGTCCATTTTGACATGATTCTTTTCTTTTCTTGGAACTGAAGTTAAAAGTTCTGTCGGAGTCAATTTGATTTGCAATTTCTACTTGTGGGAGCTGCCAGAGTGTCTCCAGTGAGCTGCACTTTAGGAGCTTCATGTCCATATGATTCTGCATAAGGTTTCTGGCTCTGCTACATCTGTCCTTTGACTGAGGGAAATTAATCTGCCTTAAGATGATGCAGCATAGATGCCATTTGATCAAAGAATCCAGCATATGAAGAAACATATGAGCGCCAAACTTGTTGTTCAGTCAGTGGTACTAAACTGATTCAAAAAAAAAAAAAAAACATTGTGACATACTAGCTCTCTGAAGTTTTTATTTAAAAAAAAAAAAAAAAAGTCTTCTATTGGGGATTTTTGTCCCCAGCTGGGAGAATAAGAGTGAAATTTTTTAGCTCTTCTCAAGTTCTTCTATTAAGTCCAGGATGGTCCAATTATATCTGAGATAGAGGATGAAAGTGAGCCTGCGTGACACGTTATTTTGTTCTTGGTTTTGAGAAATAGGAAGGTGATACCTCAGTGTTGCAGTAAAGACCTGTGCAGCAAACTGTGCATTGAAAGTTTTCTTAAATTCACAATGGGACATATTGTAGATAGTGTGTAAAAATGACTTAGTCCAACTCAACTGAATTTGTGTGGGAAGAGAGTACTGGGCTCCACCTGCTCTGACATGAGCTTAAGATGCTGGGAGCTGCTCCTGTCTGGTGATTACCTTGTAGTTTAAAAAAATGTGTTCACATTTCCTATCAATCAAGTAACAGGCAGTTATTTTACTGCATACTATCAGACATTAGAAGATGCCATGTACAGACCTTCCCTCATTCAGTCTCCTTCTCATTACATCTCTGTTGCAGATGTGGAGTAGTAAGGGGCTTGCCTGGTCACTACTCAGATCTTTCAGCAAAGGAGGGAGTGGTGAGCAGGTCTGGCTGTGCAGCAGTGTGACTGCTTTCTTTTTCTTCCAGTTGCTGGAAGATTTCATAGTTTTTAGATGTTACTGACAGCCTTATAAAATTGATTTTTGCCCATCTCTTAGAATGCTGGTTGAAAACCCACTTTATGGAAAGAATTCCCTCTTCAGTCAGTGACAGATTATGGCAGGATAGCAAGCTCTCTGATAAAAGCGAAAGTGCCATCTCACACCTCCTGTTCCTGCCCGATGACCTCCACAGGGTTACATTTCTGGGCTTCCTAGAAATCACCAGGCTGTGTTTGTTAGTGGGGTTGTCCATGCATCTTGACCTGTGAGAATCCCTTCTTTCTCAGCTATTCCTGGATCCCTGTTCCTGGGCAGGTGGCACTGTCGTACCTGAACATGGGAAACAGGGAGAATCAGTGACCAACCATCAGTGGGACAGATCAGCTTCTTTCTTCCCCTTAAGGAGCATCTTTCCCTTGAGGACTATCATTGAATTTTAAATGTGAGTTAGGAGGGTTTTTCCCCCCAGCCTTCTATTTCTTTTTCCCAAAATTGTATTTTCCAGAGAGTTCTGGGCATAATCCTCCTATTCAGCAATGCTTTCTCCTCTACTACTTGGCAGTTTTATCACTCCTTTTCTGGCAGAGTGTGGCAAGAGTTTTTTTACAGTCAGATAATAGTGGAATATTCCTGAAGTGTTCTTCATTATTCTTCTCATCACATTCTACATTGTGACAATTCCATTTAGACAATGTGAGACTACCTGCAATCCCTGAGAGACTGCAATCTGTTGAGAGACCAGAGGTAAAACAGACTCTAAATCTGTATTTTAAGTATTTCTCCTCCTGTACAGTTTTATCTATGTGGAAAAAAAAAAAAAAAACTCCACAAAAAAATCCCCCCAAACAAACAAACAAAAGAACCAGTAAACAAATATAAATAGGAAAAAAGGTGACACTTCTGATTTATTAAATAATTTGATTCAGTCTCCAACACTTTTTACCCTGATTTTCTGTGTCTCTTGAAGAAAGGAATCAATATGTAGGATAACTGGAGTTTCCTTATATTTGTCTCATTATTTCCCTTGACATAAATGAACTATGCTAGAACCCATTTCATCTCTGCTGAAGTCAGTAGCAAAGTTCCCATAGCATTATGTAGGGCCAGGATTTCATTGCCTGTGATGCTGTGAGAAGGTAAAAAAGGATGGCATCAGATACTTTTCATAGGCTTGACCTAACAACCTTCTCCTGAAATCACCTAGTCTGTTGGACCACTGCTGGATCCTTTTGAAAATGCTTTCCAGGAATATATTAGTTATTTTCCATTTCTTTAATAATGTATGAAATAGAATTCTAATGAGAACTGTGTTTTCCTTTATCTTAAATATTCTTACAATGGCTGGTGTTAATACTGACGGAAAATTAAAAGTCTGGTTCCTTCCATTCTAAGGCTGATTTTTTTTTATTAATTCAAAGTTTTTGAAGATGTAGGAAACTGTCTTGACCCTTCCTATTTTGCCTTCAAACCCATATATATGTAAACATTTAGTAGGTGTTGTTTAGGAATGAGTGGAAACTATGGGGTCCTTGTGCTCTAGTTTCTTTTCTGACAGTTATCTCAAAAATGTAGGTAAGAGTTCATAGATAATTCCTCAATTAGATAACTCTAAAAAAATCCACAGAGTCAGAGAGAACATCTGTTTATAAAAACACACAGATCCTAAATACTGTGGGTAAGTACAGTGCTTTAAGTACTCAAAAGCAAGTAAGGGATATGTAAGAGGGGTTTCATATGTCTTATTTGATTCCGTTTGAAAATTTTTCTTCTTCTTCTTGAGATCATTTTTATTTGCTAATGAAAAACCGTACTGGCTCTGGCTAAGATGGAGTTAATTTTCCCCATAGCATCCCTTCCAGTGCTGGGCTATGCATTGGCAGCTAGAAAGGTGTTGAGAACACAGCAGTGTTTTGGTACTGCTGGGCAATGCTCCCAACAGCATCGAGGCCCTCTGTCCAAATCAGGTTCCACCAGTCCCAAAAGGCTGGGGCTGGGCAAGAGCTTGGGAGGGGACACAGCCAGGACAGCTGATCCCAACTGACCAGAGGGATAATTCCACGCTATGTGATGTCTGCTTGGCAATAAAAACGGAGGGAAAGGACAGGGTGGCATTTGTCATTATGGCATTTGTCTTCCAGAGGAGCTGCTACACACACCAAGGCCCTGCTTCCTGGGAGGTGGCTGGGCATTGCCTGCTGATGGGAATTAGAGGAAGAAATGTTGTGTTTTCTTTTGGTTTTGTGTGTGACCTTTGATTTTGCTTTATTGAACTGCCTTTATCTTGACCAGTGAGTTGTTTTATTTTCTATCTTATTTTCTCACCTCCCATCTGAGAAGGGGAGGGACAAAGCGACTTGGTGGATACCTGGCGTCCAGTCAAGGACAGCCCACAAAAACATAGGAACAGTTTTGCAGGTTTGGTTATCCAGAGTGATAACAAAAGATTTGCCACCTAAAATAGACATTGTTTTCAGTGAATAACAGCTCAAAAGTAAAATTTTATTCTTGTCCTACAAATGGCCTGTAAATTGCTGAACCACCTCATATGGCCTTTATTTTGTCCTCACTGGCATATCAAAGGGAAACAATTCAAGCATTTTAGAGACCTAGTTATTTGTTCCTTTGATTATCTCATCATCTGCCTTCCTGGTTGATTTCCTAAGATAGTCTTAGAAACTGAGATTCTCTTTTGATCACTGCATCTGTGGAAAAGTGAAGCTAGAGAAACACATGTGCTGGGGCTCTCATTAAGATTAAAATTATCATTTTGGCATGTACTTAGTAACTGCTGTCATTTGTTGATGGTGGGAGAGCCTGAGGAGCATACGGCTTTTGGGCTGTGCTCTTCTTCTGACAGCAATTCCAACATCTGCAGAAAGCATTTTAGTAAGAACTAGAAAAGTGGAATAAATAATAGTAAAATCATACATATGGTGTGAAGGTGACACAGACAAATGTTTTTCCAGCTCTAGCTGTACTATTTCTGACCCACCCCTTTGCTGACTAACTCAAGTGACAAGATACTAAGCAAGAGCATATGTGATTATTATGCACCATGTAGAGTTCAGAACAAAGCATAAATAATTGCCATGCAATATCAATTTGTTTGATCTAGGAATAAAATCTTCACCAGATTTTCTAGTGCCTGAGTGTAACTTTGAATGGTTTTATTAGCACACATTATCTGAAGAAACCTCATCTGTCTGAAAGATCAGCCCTGGGCGGTGCACAGCTGATGCTGCAAGAAGCAGCAGCACATAGAGGTGATTTGGCTGTTATTTGTAAAGATGGTCCAAAAGTGAGGCTGGAGCTATTCCTTTATGTTTCATCTCTCTTACTGTAACGATCTGAAACTTCTACTCTGTCAGTATGAATTAGTCCCCTTTTAGGAAAGGGTTTGTAAGGTGCACTTAATTTGAAATGATTCCCTGTACATAGAAGCTTCTGAGATTTTATCTTCTGTTCTATGTATTTATTGAAAATTGTGCTATCTATCTGTCTTGACAAATTATCTACTTTTGTCGCTGGATACTCTTGACAGACTTTTTACCACCCATTTCATCTGTAACAAGATCAATTTACCAGCTCGTGTTACTTTCATGATGGTAAGAAAAGCAGAACAAAGGCACAAAAGTAAACCTGACTGGTTAATTTTCATCTTTAGTTATATTGGTGTAAAATAGCTGTTTATGACTTCCTGTCCCATTTTTTTTCACCTACATTTCCTCCTGTCCTGCGTTTTACCTCCATGTACTTTTCTTTCACTCTGCTGCCAGCAATGAGTACAGTGATGTTTTCTCCTGGAGACCGTCTTTTGCAAACATTAGTGCTTTGTAAATGATGGCTTGGCAGCAGTTCACTGATCAACCAGGAAAAAACAGTTCCAGTATCAGACTCGCTCAGAATATGCACACAAGTTAGAGATGGATTTTCCAAAATTTGTTTTTCTTTAGTAATTCACTAGAATTTTTGGGGGGTACAGACATATTTTTCAGGGCACAATAGTCTCATGAAGGACTTGACGATGAAAACTCCACCAGAAGTTCTGAGTTCTGCTTCGTGTAGCATTCCCCTGAAATACAAGAGTCTGCCTGAAGCCAAAGTAAACATACAGTCACGTTCTTTTCACAAAATTTATTTACTGTGGCAGTCAGGGCAAATCTCTCATTCCTGTCAAATTAGACAGTCCCTCTGGCAGGTCACAATGGCCATGGTGGCATTATCAATATTTTTAAAAGGTCATCTATCAGAGAATGTGTGTTGCAGGTAATGAACAAGGAGGGAAACACAACTGCTTTGTATTCTCAGAGAATTAAAAATGTTACAAAAAGCTTATATACCTTAAGGACAAGAATTTGATTTCTTTGCATTTGACAAACCACATCAACATCCACATAATTCTAATTTTGCCAAATAAGACAGTTATTCTTTTTGCCACAGTCTTCTGTGAGATTGGTATTGGTCTTCCCAGTTCAAATCACTGGAAGCATTTTATTAAAACAAACAAACAAACAAAAAGCTGTTTTGATTTTAAAAAAGCATATTATTTGAAGGTATGTGTTTTGTTGTGAGAACTCACACTTCATTATCTTGAAGCAACTCAGTTGTTCTAGCTTTCATTTTTCTTAAGCTGATAGGGAAAAAATCTAATGAAACAAAACCATCCTTGTTAAGTCTTCCAAAAGATCCTACTGCTACTTTGGTGTTCACAGAACATGGGAAGTACGTCTGGTTCGTTACAGATAAACGTGATCAGTTCTTGGAGCCAAGGAGCTTACAGTTTAAATCTATGAGCTTGGTTTTATATATCAAATATATGATCTCTTATTTGTATGTATTAAAACTCAAAACTGAACTTTGGAAAATTTCCTTTTAAGATTATAAATTTTTCTAGTAGATATGAAAAAGTGTTTGGACTTTTTTTTTTTTTTTTTCCCCATAGAAAACAGAAGATAAACCAGATGAAGGCAAACTTTTTTTTTTTTTTAATTTTACCTGCTCAGGAATCTAAGTTAAAACCTGTGATTTCTTTTCAGTACATGAAAACAGCTAAACCTTATCTAAATTTCAGTCCAGAAATTTTAACCTTTTTAGAAAATATAAAGGGTCTTGTCAGTGTAATTGAAAAATCCACATCTGACATCAGCATTTGTTATCAGCCCTTTTTGTGATCGCTGTGTGGGGTGTTCCATGTAGCTGGGAAGAAAGCATGGAAGATGGTTAATTTCTTTATGATGGTTCAAAATCTCACCCCACAACCACTTTGGTACACAGAAGACTCCCAGCTGGGATATGGTGTTGCTTACACTCTGGTGCTGCTCCTTTAAATGGTGGGGGACTTGCTTTGTTGAGGCTCCTTGCGTGCCCCGGGGAGGCTGGACACAGGGAAAATGTGAAGTTCCAAACGTGGCACGGCCCTGTGGAGGGGCAGAATGGGCTTCAGTTCTATCAACAGTCATTTGGCACAGCAGGAGGAAAGCACGGTGGGGGCTTTGGCTGGCAGTTCAGGTTTACTGAGGCAGCAGCTCCAGGGCATTGCTGCTGATGGTGTAATTTCGCTACTGAAGTTCGTGCTTTTGAGCTACAGAGATGGTTCGTTAACAGCAAGTAACTCCAGCTCACAGTGTGTCCCTTGCCTTCTCAATAGCTACACTATAAAAAGCCTTTGGCACTGCTTTCTTATACTGAGATTCCTGCTGAGACTCAAAATGCTGCTGTCCCCGTTTTCTGTCATTGTCACTGGTGCATATTTTGGTGTTGACTGAATGTCCACTAAAGTTTACGGACAGGCTCCACAGCATTCCCTTGGCTTTGCATCAGGCAGAAGACAGCCAACACTGGATCTTCATGAGCTAAAAGAAAATCAATTTTAATTCCAAAGGATAGAATTATTGGGGTAGAAAGAGAAGTCGTTAAATAGCCTTGCTTGCTCCAAGGCCAGTGGTATGGAAGAAGAACTGAAAAGAAGAATTTTAACTTTGAATTGCTGTAATTGTTGTAAGTGCCTGCCTTATATTGGATTCCCTTGTTAACCTAATAGCTACCTGGTGTTTGTAAGTGTTTATGTTTTCTCATGGAAGGCAATGTAACTATTATTCTGGTAGACAAATGATGATGAGGCTTTCCTTCTCTAATTAAAAGTAGTTACCATAAAAGAAGGCAGTAGGATACCACAGCATCGTATTTTAAAGCTCCTCTGGAATACAGGCCTGTAAACTTGATGCAGTAACAATAAATGCATGTAAAATAAGCACTAACATTTAACTACAAGGCAGGAAATAAAAAGACAGGGGAGGCATCCCAGAAGTTGGGTTGGGGGGGGGCCCTCACTTCACAGTGTCTGGGGATCTCTTTGAGCCTCGACTGGCTGAGCTGGGGTTGCTGCAGCCATGGCTTTGGAGCAGGACTACCCAGGGGTGACTCCCGCAAGCTCCTCCCAGCTCTTTCTCCACGATCCCTAGCACTGGCTAAAGGGCTTCTGATGGTCCTCTGCACACCACCACCCTTACCAGTGAGCAGCCAGCATGCTGAGGGAATTATGACCTTCACTTCTATCTGCAGAGCTTGGATTTTAGCATTTGAAAGAGTTTCGCATTTGAGCTCCAAAAGTCTGTCTTGTGTTTCTGCTATTGCTACCACTTCCATATATGCAAGTCTGCATCTTCCAGCAGGCTCTTCAGATACTTCCTTCTCATGTAAAGATATATCAATGTATGCAAAGGCTTCTCATTATAAAATTTGCAGAAGAGTTGAAGTTTTTAACTTGAGCAGTAACAAGCACTCTATGCAACCGTCGGTTCATACTCTGCTCTTCTAAACTGACAACTTCTCACCATAAAAGCTCAGCTCAAAATCTGAAGACTTCTTGTGCTTTATTGAAGTCCTACAGGGTTGTACCTTAGTACGTATAATGGGTGGATCTTACAAAAGAAACTAGTAGACTCTTTTGGTCTTACTTCACTACAATAAGAAGAGGTGAACTCTTGAAATATAAAGTACATTTTTAGGTACCGTGTCGGCTTCGTACCTTTTAAATTGTTCAGTTTGTGTACACACTCTAAATGAACCACAGTGGGTTATGAGAGGGCAGTAATCAATAAGACAGCTCATTATCTGTGATACTTATAATTATCCTGATCCTAGTACTAATGTATTGGTGTAACTAAAGCACATTAAAAAAAAATGTCCTAACAGGACATGTCATTATCACCCTTATTTTTGCTCTAAAGTTTTATTAGAAAATCATGCTACTCTTCTGAACTACCACAACAACAGCATTATCCCCAG